TTTTATGGTTTGAGCAGCAGACTATTAAACAGTTTTTTTCTTCCCACTTGGGGAAGCCGGAGCTTGGTTTAATCAGTGTGTGTGTGGGGGCAGGGGCGGTCAGTAGAAACTAGCTGGAGAATTAGGAAGGCAGATTTGGTTCAGGGCCTTTCCGCTACCTATCAAGGTAAGAGCGACAAGTAACCTACCTGAGAACGGTCATCAGCTGGCATGTGATTGTGAATAACAACGATCGCGTTCATCACACTAGCGCCCGAGCAGTCACTGGGAGGACATCGTGTGCCCTTTATAACAGCCTCGTGGGGAGGTTGCAAATTTGGCATTTACGGATGAGAAGGAGACACAGCGTGCTTAGCTGCTTTTCTCAATATCATATAGTTGATCGTTATGTAACCAGTAAGAATTTATATAACACTCTGAGATTGTGGGCCAATACTTTTAACTCAATATGATCACGGCAGAAAAGCTTGTTGTCTGAGGCAACAGGGTCCATTCGGAGGTGGGTGGAGACTCTGGGTCTCACAGCTGCCACTTCCTTCAAGCTACACTCAGCCCTGGGCCCTTCCCCGTGGCCTCCGTGGCTTGTTCGTAGTGTGTTTGGGCCCAGGCATGCTTATGCCAGCCCCCCGGCCTGCCCCCTGGGATGCCTGGCGGGAGCCAGGAGCAGATCTCCAGCAGTAGGGGTGCTGGCCATCACCTCTCTGTCTGTGCCGAAGCTGATAGAAAATCGTTTGTGGGCTAAAGCAGTGAATGAATGGATACATAAATAGAAATGAAAGATTTTGAACAGAAATAAAATAAAATAAAAATTAAATTAAATTCCTGGAAAAACAAGGTCGTGGTTGAAGGCTTAGAGCTGAGCTGGGAGCGATATGGACAGGGCTGAGGAGGTGGCTGCTCTGTTGGATGGAGGGAGCATGTGGACAGGAAGCTGCTGGATGTGAAGAAGAAATGGCAGGATTTGGAAACAGCCCGACGTGGAAGTAGAGGCCAAGGATTCCGAGATGGCTGTTGTTAGCAGAAATTGGAAGTTTAAGAGATACAGTTTGCGGGTCCTGAGAGGAGCGTGAGTTTTTAGCATGCAGTGGTTGTGGAATACCCAGATGGAAATGTCTGCCAAGAAATGGAAATTAAGGACGAGCATCCGGACAGGAAGTCAGGACAGGCGGTCCTCACCCGAGGCCACGCCCACGCCCTTCGAAGTGATGGAAGCAGCTGGTCGGTGGGCAGTGTCTCTGACATATTCCCTTCCAAGGATATGAGCTTTGCTTTTGTGCTCCGAGAACTTCACCTGACATTTGACCTCTGCCATGCATCAGAGCAGGGGGACACTGAGAGGAGGCTGAGTTGTCATCGAACTCTCATGACAGGTCCCCGCCCTTCAGTTAATGATAGTGACACCCAAAGGCTCTGGCACCAGGAGCTGAGAAGGTCGGTCCTTGTAGGAGGAGAATAAAGCTAACGTTTACCCAGCCCGTGGCTCCTGTCAGGTCTGGCTTTCATGCCATTCCGTGTCGAATAAGTGGCCCTTGGAGGTGGGCTGGTACAGGACCCACCTAGGCAGCAACTGTCATCTTTCTCTGCTTCAGCTCTCTTGGCTTTTCTTCCCGAAACGCTGCCCTCTGGCTCCCTCCCAGAATCAGGTTTGACTCATCCTTTCCAGTTTCCCTTGATTCTGCCTTGATCACAGAACCCTCAGCGAGCCCCTCAGCAATCCCACAATCCCTTTCTCGAGAGCACTTATTTAATAATTTGTAATTCTATAAAGCAAGGCATAATAAGACACAGGAATTCAACAGACTGTGGCCGGCGTGAAACAGTTCCTCTGCTTGTCGTCTGGAGGAATGAGATTGGCACCAGTCAGTAACTTCTCTTACCAAAAACCCAGTGTTTTCCAGTGCTAAGGGACGACTCGGGGTCGTGGGGGTACACTGAGTGCTTCACTCAGTGTCCCCGTAGTTTGCCTGCCAGATTCTAGGGAGGTCCTTATGTAACAGGTAGATAAGCTCAGGGTGGGGAGGGGACATGCACTCCACCTGTCAATGCAGGTGAGTAAGCATTATGCCCGCCTGGGGCCGTCCAGCCCCCACCTGAGTATGCCCTGTGCTTGCGGAGGGGAGGTCTGGGTGTGGACAGCCAGGGAGGATGAAGAGAGATGAACATTGCTTCCCTTTGCCCATTGATTACTCATTCTGTATCTGACAAGATAGGTTAAATTATGCTATGGTTAGAAATAGCTCCCAAATCTCGGCGGCTTAAAATAACCTAAGTTTCCTGCTCGCTCCCAGCCTGCGTCCATCACCGGCTGTCCCGGGGCCTCGCTCCTCGCTCATGGTTTCAGGGTGACGGAGTACCCGCCACCCTGTGCTCGGTCGGGGGGGCGAGAGACCGACTCGGGAGCACTTTGCACTGGCTAGTGGATGTGCCAGCCTCCTCTGCCATCGTCTCTGCCCCAGCCCTCCAGCCCACCCGAGGACTGGAGCCTAGGAGTGCACTCTCCGTGTTCCCAAGGCTGGAGTGATGGAAATATGGGTGGGTGGCAATGGTGCCCCCGTAGGTTCCCGCCTTCCACACCATCGCAGTGGGGAAGTGATGGAAATATGGGTGGGTGGCAATGGTGCCCCCTGTAGGTTCCCGCCTTCCACACCATCGCAGCAAGGACGCAGTGGGGAGGGAGGAGGGAACCGGCGTGTGTGGGAAGGGCACCGTCGCACCCCTAGGTCTCCCTGGTGAGTCGGAGCGGCCGCTCCCACTTGTAAGGGTCCCGTTCCGCGACAGAGGCCTGGGGAAAAGCCACCCAGGAGAGCTGGGTGACTGCTTCAGCTTTTTCCCACTCCTCGGCAGGCTGGGGACCTCCAGAACCAGCTGGCCTCCCGTAAGCAGTTTTCCTCCGCGTGGTGACAGTGACGAATCCTTCCTGCTCTGGAGGTGGCAGCTTCCACTATAAATCAAGCCCTGAAGAGGGAAGAAGCAGTCGTGATTCATGGGGGACCTGAAATCCAAGCTGTAATCAGTCAGAGATTTGTCACTGCAGTTGGAGACGAGGACGGCGCCATCACGGATGATTCAGGCCTAGGGTGGCTGTCTCTAAACATGTTAATTATCTCAGCATAAGTGGCTGAAACTGATGATTAAAAAAACGTCGAGATGCGCACAGCAGAAGTCACAGCCACTGCCTGCTGGGGCTGGCTGAGAATGGGGGCCGTTCTCTGTGAACGGGAGGGGGCGGGGTGGGGCCTTGGCTGGCGCGGATGGGGTTGGCAGGGATGGCCGCAGGGTCCTGTGAGGCAAAAACGCAGTAGACACACCATTCCCGCCAGGCGGTCGAGGGTCACGGGGCTGGCCGCGCCCGGTTCCCCCACCGAGGTCACTGCCACCGCAGCGACGGCTCTTGTATGTTGATTCCAAGGTGACAGCCTGAGAATTCTAAGACGCGGGTCCATGCAGTTCATTCTTCCCCGGACCTGAGAATAAAGATGATGCCTCTTGGTTACGAAATGCATATTGTACGTGTGCGCCTCTTGTCTATGTACTTTTAATGCTTGTCCCTTTCCCCTGCCCCCCTGTCCCCCTTCCCATATTTCCCATCTGGGGCAGTTAGTGCATCTGACCGCAGAGAGGTGATGAATGAGACCAGAGTCACGTTCTGTACCCACGTGGGACGGTTTGAGACAGCTCGTTTCCCACCCAGGGAAATCTTGGTTTGTGACCACAGGCTGCATCCCTAACGTCAGCCAGCTGGGCTGCAAACATGCGCCCTGGGTCAGTTCAATTCATTTCATCGAATCCTTGTTAAGTCCATACTTAGTGCAAACGACACTTTGCAAATGGAAACGAGACAAGACGAGAGCGTGGCCTTGGCTCACGGAGTAAGTGCGGGAGATGTGCACGCGCTGGGAGGTAGGGGGAAGGCAGTGACTCCAGACTGATGGATTGTGCAGAGCCCCGCCCCCCAGGAGAGGGACAGAACGTGTGCTGTGAGGCTCAGAGTCGCAGAGCTCCCATTAGAAAGGGGCATTTGAGGTGGGCCTTGAAGGGTGCTTAGAAAGATTTTGCTAGGAGGACTATGGCATTTGTGACGGTCTAACCATACGCAGAGGCTATACGCGCCCCCCTCCGCCACCTACACGTTTCCCCCATATTCCCATATGACTGGGAGAGATGGTGCATTTGCACCTCTATCTTTGGGTTCCCTGACTTCTGGCCTGGAGACTATATTTCTGTTTTGTAGTCACTTTGATTTCTAAGTCACTTTGACTTTCTAGTCACTTCCTCCCAAGGGTGTTAAGATGTAAACACCCTTGGGAGGAAGTTCACAGGCATTTTGAGCTCTACTCATTTACGCCCGTGTGGGTGGATTGGGGTTGGGGAGCTTGGTCTTCCTGCTGGCCACCTTCCACCACGTGACCCTTCCTGGACTGGGCTGGCTTCTTGGCCCTCCCTTCAGAGGCTAAGCTTTCCCTCTTTTATCATTATGACATGTTCTTTCTCTTGGGCTCCCCCTGATCTACCCGCCATGAAGCAAAATGCTCAACTTTTTCCCAACCCTCCTATGTTTGAAATAAATACACATATTTGCTTTCGGCTTGTGGGTTTCTATAGGAGGACACAAGGGGCTAGAAAAACAGGAGCAGGGCAGTTACAGAATCGCTGGAAACCCTACCAGTGTTTATCCTAGTGGATCCTGCCTCGGGTCAGACATCACAGGGGCTGGACGGCCTCTTCCAGTCTTCCCAGCGGTCCTCCACGGGCGGCCCTTAGAAACGAGTGCCCTGTTCTGGTAAGTACGGTGCCGAGGGCCTGTGTCCACTGGGGTTTGGACATAAAGCAGGGCTCCAGCACCATAAAGAGGAGAACTTACCAGAGAGGGATCGCAGTCTCGGGGTAGTGACTCTGCTGCTCCAGGGAGGGCCTTCGTGTCACCGGTATGTTGGAGGCAGCATCTGGGCAGAAGGTGGCTGCCACGGAGGCAGGAGGGACTTTTCCTCCCTCTAACTCAGGCCTGTGTCTCTGCTCCCTCTTCAGCTGGTGCTGCCAGAATACTCCATCCACAGCCTCTTCTGCGTCATGTTCCTGTGTGCCCAGGAGTGGCTCACGCTGGGGCTGAACGTCCCTCTACTCTTTTATCACTTCTGGAGGTAAGTCCGCCTGGGACGCGTCTGTCCTGCTCCTCTTCTGCTTGGGCAGCCTGCCCTCCAGGGACGCCGTCCCGCAGACAGTCCAGCCGCCTGGGGCCTCCCTCACCCCTTCCTCTTGGAGACCTCTTCTCCAGAGCCTTCTTCCCAAGCTGCTCTCGGACAGCAAGTCCAATAAAGGAAGGTCCTTTTATCGGCTCCACTAACCCCAGCCTCCGCCCTTGTAGGTCAGTGTCAAAAGCAGCCACAGCATTATCCACAGTAGCCGAAAAGTAGAAACCACCCGAATGTTTATGGGGTTGGATAAACACGATGTGGTATATCCTTACAATGAAATACTATTCGGCAATAAAAACCGATAAAGTACGGATACAACATGGATGAACCTTGAAACAAATGACACGTGAAAGCAGCTCGCCGGAGAAGTCCATTTATATGAAACGTCCAGAATGAGCAAGAGACCGAAATCTGCAGAGACCGAAAGTAGCGTGGCGGTTGCCAGGGGCTGGGAGGCGGGCAGGAAATGGGGAGCGGCTGCCAGTGGGTACAGGGTTTTCTGTTTAGGGTGCTGAAAGTGTCCCGAAATTAGATACTGGGGATGGTTGTACAACTCTACGAATATGCTAAAAACCACTGACTTGGATACTTTTAAAAGGTGGATTTTTTGGTATGTGAATTAGATCTTAATTTAAAAAGTACCTACCAGATGGGCTGGGTTTTCTGGGATGGTTCTGATTTTAAATATTCTATTCCCTGCTAAGACCATGCATCCCATCATGTGATTTGGGCTTTTTTGTAAAATCTAATCGCCATATGGATATGGGAGGCAGGAAGGGGGTTACACAAGGAGTAAAGAATGCATTTGAGCAGATCCATGAACCACCCTTTACCTCTTGCTCCCTGAGCTTCCCCCGCCCCCCCCAAATATCTCATCGTTGGCATTTTACCATAGAATATAGTCTCTGTTTAGTCCTGTCGAGAGCATTCACTCCTTCATTTAGCAAACGTGTGGAACACATGCCATATGCCAGACATTGTGGGGGAGTACAAAAACGAATGTGAAATATAATCTCTACCCTCAAGGAATGTGCACCCTGGAGGCAGAGGGAAATATATTACTAAGGGATATATGTGGAATACATGCAGGAGAGTAGAGAAACGAGCGTTTAAATTAGACCGGAAGCGCGCCCCTGGAAAATCCGGAGGAGCACGTCTCGGGTTGCGGGACTAGCATATGCAAAGGCTCGGAGGTCAGGGAGCACTCAGTGTGTTTGGGGAGCACTCAGTATGTTCAGTGTGGCTGGATGTGGGGGTTCGGGGAGGGAAGTGAGTGGAGACGGGTTGACAGACAGGGGTATTAGCTATGGAGGGTCTGCCGTGATTCGATGGGGAAGCTGGAATGAATTTACCCTGCAGGCAGTGGGCAGCCCTCAGAAGTTTTTGAGGAGGAAAATGGCATCATGCGATCTGATTTTTAGGAAGGTGACCCTGGCAGCAGTGGGAAGGATGGGTTGGAGGGTGAAATTTTGAGGACGAAATCCAGTTAGGATAAAGTGGCAGGTGAAGTGATCACAGAGGCTTGAGCCAGGTAGTGGGCTTGGAGCAGAGAGAGGAGAGGATTCGCGTAGGTGAACTGGACAGGCCTTGGCTGGTGATGGGGTGCAGGACGTGAGGGAGAGGGCGCCCCCGAGCTGGGCGGCTGGGTGGGCGATGGTGTTATCGACCCAGAGCAGGAGGAAAGGAGAAATGACGGGTTTAGGCAGGAGGGAAAAGGCTTCTTCTGTTACATAAGGAAGTCCTGCTTTAAGTACTGGTAAAATGTGAATTTAGAGAGAAGCCAAGCAGAGACATCGTGGTGTTGCAATGTGCTGCACACCCGCTCAGGGACCTCGCGCCCTACCGCATCCAGCGTCCGTGACAACCGGGCAAGCTGGGGTTCCTTTTCTCTATTTTACACACAGACACAGAGACTCACAAAGGTTGTTCCTGCCGAGTAGCTCAGCCAGGACGCGGCAGGGCCAGGGTTCAGCCTCACCTCTGTGTCGATCACAGTCTGTGCCCTCGTCACCTGCCACGCTGTCCCAGGGGGCTGACTCTTCTCGTTATAAGAGGAATTTATCCCCAGGTCCTTGGAATAATGTGCTGTCATTCCAGAGTGTCAAAAATGTGGTTAATTTACACAACTTTGATTTGTGCGCTGCTTCTTAGGGCTGTCACTCCCCCGGAAGGGAGGAGAGGGAGAGGCAGCTACTGTCCTTAAACCTGGACTGTGACATTCACATAAGAAAAGAGCAACTGCAGTCTCCTTGCCAGGAGGGGCCTCATCTTACTGTTTTTGAATCTCTGACAGGGTCTAGCCTAGTTCTGGCAATTCATAAATGCCTAGAACATGAAAGAAAAAGGAACGAGGAGAGGGTTGCTTTTTCAAAATGAGAGTCCTTGAACATCTTTTTTAAATTATTATTTCCACTCCCCTCCTCTTCAGCAGGTCCGGCTCAGACATCTCTCATGCAGATAAAGCCCCTGCCACTCCAGCTCTCAGTTTGCTTAAATTAAAGTAGAATGGTAGAGCTTTGACTCAGTACCTGTTCTTCGCAGATTATCTGTCACCTCTCATAATAGTCACAACAGCCCTTCTGAGAAGGCAAGTTCATCGCCATTGTACAGATGAGGAAATCGAGGTCAGAGGGGTTAATGACTGGCCCGAGCAAGGTCAGTCTGGTGACCGCTGAGTGGCAGAGCCCTGGCTTTTTCCACAGAGCCTCTTGGCCACCCCGTCACCCCTGCCTCCACTTAATGAGGTCACCTGGGAACAAGGCCTCAGCAAAAGCAAATAGGTTTCGAAATCTGCTCCTGGGAAGAGAAGAGGCAAGTGGCCTGGAGGGCTGTGAGCTGGCACATGTCATCGGATCTGGCTTGTGATTTCCTCTCAGCAGAGTGTCGATGACAGATCATGTCAGCGCAATCCTGTGAGGGGCGAGGACGCGGGAGCTGAGGTGCCAGCTCGGGGAGTCGCTGTGTTCTGGGGATGCTCTCAAAGCCAGCGTGATTAATCTGGTCAGAGCCCACTCTCCCGGGCCTTGTCACAGTCAAGAACCACAGCCCGGCCTAGGGCCTCCCAGGAGCCACTAATTTGCACCCTGGCCTCCTCATTTTTTTTAATTTTTTAAAAATTTTTTACCAGACTGACAGAAAAGCAGGCTGCTGAGGCATGTCCGCCACCCTTGCTCTTTCCAGTGAGGCCGTGGCTGAGGCCCTGGGGGCTGTGTCCTGTTGAGGGCCAGGGGACAGTCCTGAGAGCGGCCTGGCCACGCCCAGAGGGGCTCTGCCTGGTCTCGCCCCCTTGGACCATCTCTCTCCTCCCGTGAACAAGGCTAGTTCCCGCTGAGCCGACGTGACATTTTGAAGCAGACACAGTCTGCTCTCTCCATTCTGTCTCTTCCACCCACTGCTCTTTGCTCCCCCTCCCCCTCCCCCCCTCCTGGCTGCTCTCTCCCGCGGTGGCCCATGTTCTTTTTGCTGTTCCCAGCCTTTCTCTCAAGAAGAACAGCACCTGTAAATGACCGCATCCTCAGGCGGGAACATGATGTCCCTCCCAGAACGTTCAGGTAGAGAACAGCATTCAGTCCACGGTAACTAAGGGCGGAGGTGGAGCTGTGACGCGAAGCTCTGCGTCCGCCCGCACCCGTCCTGGGACTGGTACCCAGGCGGGCACACTGCAGACCCCCTCTCCACGCCCCTGGGGAACGGAGGCTCTTCTTGGTGCCCCCCGGATGCCACCGGGCGACACCTTTTCCTTCTGGCAGCGCAGCTCGGTATGTGGGCGAAATCGCCGCGTGCGGGACCGGAGTGTCCCCCGGCTGCGGCCCGCGCTCCGCGGGGCTTCCGCAGAGGCCCGTTGGCCCAGACGACTTCGGATGCCCCCTCCGAGCCTCAGGTGTCCTCTCCCCCCGCAGGTACTTCCGCTGTCCGGCAGATAGCTCCGAGCTGGCCTACGACCCGCCGGTGGTCATGAACGCAGACACCCTGGGCTACTGCCAGAAGGAGGCCTGGTGCAAGCTGGCCTTCTACCTCCTCTCCTTCTTCTACTACCTGTACTGGTGAGTCCGCGGCCGCCCTGCCCCCGGCGCCTGCGCGGTCCAGCCAGCCAGGGCACCCGTGGCCCCGACGCACGGCCTCAGCACCCCCTGTCCCCCAGCCTGGGTGTGAGCACCCTTGGGGACCATAACAGAGACCCTCGGTGGCGGCAGTCATGCTTCGCGAAGGGGCATGTCGGGTCATGAAGTGCTTACGCTTACAATGCTCCCGATTTTACGTCACACCGTTCTATTTAAGGAAAACGCGCTGACTTCGCAATTCCGTTTCAGGAACCTCCCATCCTGCCACCTCTTTACTCAGAACCTCCAGGTTAAGCAGACGGCTGGAAACAGACTGTCTTCTGCTTTGATGCACAGAGATTGCCTTTTCTGGAAACATCTCTTCCTCCTTTCTGTTTCTATTTGGGCTCATCTCCGAGGTGTCTCACCTGTCACCTTGCTATCCTGTGGCTACCTGTGGCAGGGCACGATATCTTCAGGTAGCCTAGTACTGTCTCCAAAATGGCCTGCTTGGTAGCAGCCGGGTAAGGAAGAGGAGGGTGGGTGTATTAGCCTCTAAGGCCACCTCAGGGTTCAGGTTGGGCTTGCACAGGTTGACAGGTGGCTGTGTTTGTCCAGCATTTAACAAGGAGCCAGGCTGTGGTCTAAGCTTTACACGCCTTGCTCAGTCTGCGAGCTAAATGCTATCATCGCCCACATGTTAACAGTGAAGAAATGGATTCTGAGATAATTAAATATTTTTTTCAGTCACACCTACTAGTGTCACAGCTGTGGGTCCGTCTCAAGTCTGATCCCAGAGACTTAGCTCTGAACTGCTGGCTGTCGTAGGAAACATCTAGAAAAGTCTTGATCGAAATGTGGTCTTTGGAGCTCCTGCATCACCCTCAGGGGTGAGGGGCAGTGCTTCCTAAAAACGCAGATTCTTGGGCTTAGCTCCGATGCAGAATTTCGAGGCTCAGCAGCGCACCTGGGAGTGAGACCCTTCGCCCTGGGGCGCTGCTTGGTCCTGCTCCCTCCCCTCCCTCTGTCCCCAGTGTCCAGAAGACTTGGAGACCTTGGGGTGTAGCTTCCCCTGGAATAACCCAGCCTTGGGTTGCAGAGCTATTCTCCCACATTCTTCTTGGTGTCAAGGGTTGGTCCAGGCTCAGGATGACCTCTGCCCTCCTCCTCCTGGACGGAGTGTCCTGGGGCCTTGCCTGCTTCAACTCGCAAGGAGCCTGAGGGTCTCCGAAGCCTCTCTAGAGAATTCTTAGGTGCCAGCAGGTTCCCCCAAGTCTCTCTGACTCCAGGTCTGAATTTTCTGTCGTCTAAAGCCTACTCTGGCTGGCTCCTGTCTCGGAAAGCCTATAAAGGGTGGCCTAAGCCCTCAGGGGCTTGGTAACTCGTCTCCTTGGGCCACGATGGAGGTTAGGTCTCTTTGCTCAGCCTCTTCCTTTGTGGGCCTGCAGATCGCCCCAGCTACAGAGCCATAGGCTGAGTGGCCTGTCCCCAGGGGCAGCAGTGCCCCTCCGGCAGAACAAGGACTTTCGTTGGCTCCTGCCCCATTAGCCTGGGAGCCATCTTAGGCTGGATGGAGGCTGAGGCGGGTCAGCCTTCCTCATTTCCATTTTGTTGTAGTAACTGCCGAGCCAGAGCCCGAGGCACTGAGGGAAAGAAGGCATAAGAATTCACGGAGCAAAGCGGGGAGCAAAGCGGCCGGCTGCTAGCCTGTGGGGGAGGGGGCGGTCTGGGGCGGTGTTGGCTCCCGCCCGCGTTAGACAGGTGCGATCTTTCTGTAACTGACTGTGTTCCAGACATTCTGTTTGACGGTCTGTCCTTTACTTCAGTTTGGCACAGCTTCACGTGACATTCGTTAATTACTTTGTTTCCAAAACAAAATTGGGAACAACTGCTCCTCCTGCCTCACTGGGACCCCGGGTGGCTGCCGGGGTTCCTCCTTCTCTGTTGAACTCGATCTCTTGGGGGCCCTTCAGGGATCCTCAAAGACCCTGTTTCTCTGGCGTCAGGAGCTCCCAGACCCTCAGATCCTGAGCTGGTGGAGCGTGTAGGACTTTCAGCCTAGGACACTCTTTTGCAGAGGCAAGGGGACCCCGTGTGCGGAGAGCTGCCTCCGAGCTGAACAAGTGGAAGAGGCTCAAGTGACAGCAGCTGGGGACTCTGAAAGGTGGAGTTGGGGTTCCTGAGGACCTCAGAGGGGTCAAGAAATGTGTCCGAGGTCCTAGCCGACAGCAGTTTATCTGGTCCCAGAGCGTGAGCTCCTCCTCCCTCTATGCTGTGCTAACCATCCAGCCCCCGAAGCCACCCCTACGCAGGTCGCCTTGTGGACCAGGGGACATTTGCAAGTTACACCAGATGGTGACTAGCTAACAATAATGCTAATGACACGAATACACGGGACACTGACGCTCATACTAGCTGGTTAGTCCAGAGTGGACTCTGTCTGCCTGATCTTTTCAAGTCAGGAGTATAAAGCAGGCCATTTTCTACCTGGAGTAGCAGGCTCCCCCCTCCTGCCAGTGACTGCAGGCCGTGCCTGCCACCCCTCACGCTTATTTCTCTCACTCTGTAATTATGTTGTTTATGGTTTACGTGATGGCAGAGACCTTGTCCGTTTCCTTCACCTCTGCATCTGTAGTACCCTGGCCAGGGCCCGGCACATAGTAAGTGTTCACTAAACCCTCGTTATTGCTGCAGCGTGGCCCTGTGCGCCCTCAAGGTGGGGGTGCCCAGCCTTGCTGCCCAGCACCGTGGGTGGTGCCTGGTCTGCAGGAGGCACTCCATGAACGGACTCTCAAAACTGGAACTTCAGCTGCCCAGAAGAGCTCGTTGGGGCTTTGAGGGCGGATAGGGTTAGCACTCAGTTAAATGCTCAGTTTCTTTCCTTTGGTTTTGTTTCTTAGATTATCGTTTTTTCTCTTTACCATGTGAAAATGTGCTTGCTTTTTTTCTGCCCAATCGACAAAATGTGTATTTTGATGCAGACTGTTCCTCAGTCTGGCAGGATTAGCCCGCAGCCTTCCTAGGCCTGGGCGTGCACAGCTGATCGCCATAGAACATGTGCTCCTAGTGCATGTTTAACGCCTGGATTCGGTGAAAAACTCGAGGGCCAGGGAGCTCCCCAGTTAAGAATTCATTTTATTTGTGTACCCAGAGGGCCTGTGTCCTTGCGCTAGTGACGATGGTCACTTCCCCAGCTCTAACATGTCATCTGGCATGAGCCCGGAGCCCCTGGACACAGCCACAGCTGGTGGCATAAAGAATCTGCTGCACCCATCCCTCCCCTCCCCTCCCCTCCCCCCAGACCTGCCCGGCAAGTGCGAGAAGAGGACTGACAGCCATAGAATCATTCTCCTGAGAACAATGAGAGGCACTTAGAGCGGTCGCATCTTTTCTCTAAGGGACGCATTATGCTCTCCTAACAAATGTTTAGTCAAATGTTGCGGGGGAGTAGACGAGATGCTTTAGCGACAGGAAAGAGAAAGCGACAGGAACGACACAGGGTCCAGCTTTTGGCAGGTAGGTCCCTCTTTTGAGGGCCGGTCCGAGGCCTCCGTGGGCTCCCGCTGATGCCGTCTTTCCGTCTTCTGTTCGCTTCTAGCATGATCTACACTTTAGTGAGCTCCTAACTCAAAGACCACGCGCGTCATCAGAGGCTGGGATGGCGGAGGCCCGAGGCTGAGAAGTCACTTCTGCTGGCGACTGGAGAAGGGACCGCAGAGGGGATGTGTGAGGAGGAGACCCGGCGGACCCTCCGACTGAGTCGGGAACTGGAACCGGGCCGCAGCCGGGGGCCGAGTTCACTGCGCATGCGTCGTTGCCCTGTGTCGCACAGTCTGTGGCGTTCACACCCACGCTCGGGTCGTACATCCCTTCTGAACAGAAGTCACTTCTGCTGGCGACTGGAGAAGGGACCGCAGAGGGGATGTGTGAGGAGGAGACCCGGCGGACCCTCCGACTGAGTCGGGAACTGGAACCGGGCCGCAGCCGGGGGCCGAGTTCACTGCGCATGCGTCGTTGCCCTGTGTCGCACAGTCTGTGGCCTTCACACCCACGCTCGGGTCGTAGATCCCTTCTGAACAGCGGGGACGCGGGGACGCGGGGACAAAGCTCCCGAGTGAGAATTGCTGCTCCCTGAATCCACTTCCTCGAACGGCTCCCCACAGGTTCACCCTGGGTCCCTGGACCACGGGAGTGGAGACGGGAAGGCTGGAAGGTGCCCACTGAGGAACAGAATGACCCAGAGTCAAGGTTGAGTCTGCGGGACCCATCGAAGGCCTCAGGATGTTGTGGGCTGCCCATGGCCCTTGGGCTTCTTCCAAGCCATGGCCACGCCCTTCACCTCCGTGGGAGGGTCTGGAAGGTGTGCCCTTGACCTCAGCTGGAACGAGCCCTGAGCCTTCCGGAGAATCTATTTTCATGCTCGGCTTCGTGAGAGCCCGCCTTAGTGAAATAATAAGCTGGGTTTGGCGCAGTACGTTGGTAATAAATTATGTCCCAAGTCACAGAGGTGGGTGTGGGCTGGGGAGGGGGGAATCTTAGGAAACTGACTTTTTAAACATTTACTACATGTTTAAAGTGTTAGTTTTTCACCGCAATGAACCGTATTTTTCTGTTGCCACCTAAAGCCATCACAAGGTTATCAGATGCAAATCAAGTGGTTAACGCGAGTCAAAGCTACCTTCTGTTAAGGATCCCTCCGACAGTTCCAAGGCCAGAAAACGCTGGAGTGGCCGCTCTGAACTGCGGGCATTCAGCGGCGAAGAAAAGAAGCAACGGAATTATAGTTTCATTTTATGATGCTGTATCATTGTACTGTTTGGTTCGACTTGGAGGACATTCGCTTCTTTAGAATTTTCCATGTGACATTCTCTCCTTTTCGTGTGGGAGTTGTGCTAGGGGTTGTAAATGACAAGGCTGAGATTTATGTGATTTTCGAATTGGGCACAACGATTTTGACCTTATTCCCCCAACTTCCCTCCTTTTTATTCCATTTGCCATACACGGGCTATTTATACATGTACCCAGCTCCATCTGAACCCTGTGACTCAGGCCTATGAATGGTATTTGTGTAACACGTCGTGTGCTATGTTTAAAACGCAGTGACAACTTGAGTGTCTCAACTACCTGGCTGTCTCATTTAAACCCCATTACTGCCTGGATTCGTCTCCATATGGTTGGTAAACTGGTAGGTAGAAAAAGCAATTTCAAACAGGCATTCGGCTTCTAAAAATTCTCCAGAGAACAAAATATAGACTTTTGCTCTTAGGCTGAATATATCAAACCAGAGAATTCGGGGTGGTATTTTGGGGAGCAGGCTTACCCTGGGCCAACCTCCATCGTCCTGGCTGGGTAAATGTTGTTAGGGCAGAGAGTTAGCTTTAGGGCTGCTTGGCCTTGTCGTTGACGCCGTTTCTGAGAAGACTGGCTGCCTTTATCCCCAGAAGCGGGCCTGGCTTCCAGGCTGCAAATCTCAGCCTGCAGCCATCTTGCAAATGCAACTGACCAGAGAGAGTAAATGGTCCAGGTTAATTCTCGGACACGGAGCTATTTTATTTGTTTGTTTGTTTTTTCTACTTTGCCTCCTTATGAAAAAATTTGAAGTGGCTCATAATAGTGGACATCAGTACACAGAGACAGTTAAAATGGAATAGTAAATTCCAGCTTAGAAAGGAGGAGGACACAGAGATGCCATCTCTTTGAGGTACTCTACAGTGATCGAGCATTAAATTCGATATTTCTCTTAGCAGTAAATAATAGCGATTCCCATTTGCACGGTGCTAAGCATTTTACGGAATGCTTTCACATCTCCTCATTTGACCTCCCTCCCAATCCTGTGAAGTCGACGCTGTGGTTCCCATTTTCTAAGTGAGGAAGCTGAGGCTCAGAGAGGGTAAACGACTTGCCTACAGTCACACAGCAGGCGCAGACCTGCCTTTGAATCCAGGTCACGTAACTTAAAAAAAAAAAACCCTGTTCTTTCCATCATGCCTGAGATCTGGCAAAGTAGCTTAGGGTCCTGTTAAGGTTTGATAAGTAGCATTAAATTTTTGAGAAAAGGAGAACATTTTAAAGAGAAAGTGCTAGAGGAAGTGCCTGATTTTCTTTTCCTTCATGTACCAGACTCAGACCTGCTCTGCCGTGGGAGGATCTTCTCTAAGGTCGTCCTCTGAAAGCTTTAAAAGCTGCAAGTACCTCCGAGGCAGTTCTTATGTTTATGAAAGAGAAACATCAATATTTTCGTCTCGCAAGTTGGACTGGGAAAAAAAAAATCGAATAGTCTGCTGGGAGTTTGAGCCAATTTTTAATTCCTGGCGGAAGCTAATCATGACGCTTCGAGTAAGGAAAGGGCACGGTTGGTGGAGCCCGTGTCGCGTGCCAGGCGCTGTGTTAAGTGCTTTACATGCCATGGTCTCACCCAACGGCCCTCCCAGGCCCCTGGGATATCCTTATCCCCACTTTGCAGATGAGGAAAGGGGGTCTTTCCAGGGTGAGCCAGGCCGACGAGAGCTCAGTGCTGTGGATGAGCGGCCAATGATAGCAGTAGCTATACATTGACGTGTCAGGTATTACTCTGTACGGTTCCTGTGCTTTTCTCTGATCCCCATCTTCAATTCTGTGGGATCAGTATCATCTCTGTTTTCTAGATGTGGGAACCCCATGAGGGTGAGTCACTCGCCGAGACGCACCTCTAGTCAGGGGTGGAGTTTAAACCCAGGTCTGCTGCTTCTCATACCATTGCATCTGCGTGACTATCTTTGTCTCTTATTGTTTATCACACGGAAATGACCAAAGGGAGGAAGGAGAGCGAGGCAGGAGCAATGGCCCCTGGACAAATCACACGGGAAATGGTACCCTTGGGTGACAGTGAGCTTTCTCTACCAAGCAGGAGTCCGGGCATCAAGGAGAGAGTTTCTCGGGGGCACAGATGGCATGTGAAGGGGGCGTTGGTGACCTGGTCCCCGCTCCCTCAGGGAGACAGAGCAGTAGGGCTGGTAAGGCTGCGCCCAAAGGGTCAGGGCGGGACCTGGGTGAGTCACTTCAGCTCACTTTTCACTTTGCGAAGTGAAGTGAATAATGGCACCCACTGCGCTGACTTGTTATGAAGATGAAGTGAGTTCGTATGTGGTCGGCACGGCTTAACTCTTTGTAAGGGTGCCTTCCTCACCATCCCTACTGCGCCCTGTCCCCACCAGGGCAAGGCCCTCTGAAGGGAGACAAGTCACCGGGCTGTGTGGGAAGGGAGCGAAGATGCCTGGACCCTCCTGATGCCTCGTCCCCACCTACAGTGCCCTGAGTGGAGGTCAGGCCAGGACCCGAGACCTCTTTCGGTGCCGTGTTCTTTAGCCAATAATGTCGAATATTTGCCACGTGGCAGTTGTTGTGCAAAGCATTCGACAGGCACGCTCTCGTTAATCCCCACAACATTATGACATAGGAATAACGATGACTGTCCCCAATGTATATTTAAAATCCTAAAGCTTATAGAGGTCGAATGAATGAGCCAAGGTCACGGTCACTGGTAAGCCGTGGAGCCAAGACTCCGCCTCAAGTCTTTTTGACTCCAGGGTCTTTCTGACCGCTTTTGCCTTCCTGAAAGGGCGAGACAGTAGGGAGGTCAGGGGACTATGAGAAGAGAAACGGGCATGAAGGAGCAACAGGGGAGGGGGCGCCCCAGAGTGTGGCTCTGCCCGTGTCACGTGTCTCGCAGCAAGCAGCTCCACGTAAGTGGGTTCGTTATCCACAGGATTTGAGCTACGGAATGTTGTGTAAACTTCTTGACCTTTCTGAGACTCGGCTTTCCCATCTCTGAAAGGGGGGCGATAACACCCCCTTTTGAGTGTGGCGATGATAACGAAAGTAAATCGTGGTCCTCTGTGCTCCGCTTCGCTCTCCCCGCTCACAGGATTCTATAGAATCAAACGGCAAAACGCTTCTCGTAGTAACACATGGCACACGCAGCGACGCTTCGCTTCCTTCCGCTCGTCCCTCGATCGTGGGGGCAGACTGTCCCAGACATGCCACCTGGGTGACAGAGCTCAGTCCTCGTGAGAAAAATCTCCTCTCTGCTTCCTATTTTTAGCGTGGTAATTGCAACAACGCCGAATAAAGTTGTCACTATTATGACTGTTGTTTTCTGCATGAGAGACGAAGGCAACCGGCGAAGTGCTTTGACGACAGTTAATTGCGCTCACGCTGTGTCATCGCACAGGTCCGTTTCGTAACCCTTTCTTTTCATGGGCTTGGGCTGCTCTACTGCAAAACGTGCTCAGGCAGGTGAAATCGAGATCTCAGGGCTGTCTATTCGAGCTGGACACCGCAGGGCCGCTCTGCCCCCGAGGCTTAAGCAGAAGGTGGTCACCACTGCGGGTGTTTGAGAAGCTAATGACCCTAGAACGACCCTGGAATGACCCTGGGATGACCCTGTGACTTGCTTCATCCCCGGCAGAGGGGAGAATGAGCTGAGCGCAG